ATTTGAGGCATCACACCATCTGAATCATATGTATACAGTATTATTGCTAATTCTGAAGAAAGATCATTTTGTTTTTGGCAGCTAGTGTCACCTAATCCAATCAAATTGCTCTATGTACTTTGGATTCAAATTTTCAGATTCGCAGAACAGTATAGGAAAACCAATGATGATAAATGCGTGAATGGTTTTCTTAAGGTAATCTATAGCCTAAATATAAATGACAACATTAAATATTCTCTTCCAAAGTTCTTCAGACTGGTAGGCCTATTACATATAATAGACCAATGCTGTAATGGTAGGTAGGCCTAATGGAAATTAAGGCCTCCATTTAATCCGATAGTTTATACAAAACTGGATTTGTTTAGAATGCTGATATTTTCCCAATATTTAATGTATTTTTGTAACACTACCATTGTTGAAAGATTTTGGTGATTTTATTGAATGTACAGTTTAATTTAATTATCATTGTTTAAACTTTAAAAGTATACTGTATATTATTACACCGATTAATATAGTCTCAGGCTTGACTGCCAGTGGTGGCCTTTATTACTTGTCGAGATTTCTCTTTGTTATTTTCATTAACAAGGATACTTATAAAATGACAACTTTAAAAAGTGCTGGGCGAACTGTGTTTTATTTTTAATATATATTTATGGTTGTTGTGAAGCTTGGTTTTAACCTTTTTCGAATTGTTCAAGCAGCGTTGCCTTGTAATTGGCGTTTTAAAACAGATTGTACGGTGGCCAATACATATGAGCAAAAGGAAGAGGAGGGTGAAAGTAATATCGGCATAGTAATATTGATGTAAATAAGCCTGCGATATTTGGCATATTAATAGTAAAAAAATGGGCCGAATATAAATAATAATAACAATAACAATATAATATGATGATGACGATGATGACGATGATCGAGATTATCATTTTCATCGTTAATCCGTACGAATCTTAAATTAACCCATGATTTACTAATATAATTATATTAATATTAATAATTTATTGAAGAAGAATTATCATTATTATTTATTTATTTAAAAATAATAATATAATAATGATAATAACGAATAGGCATATGTATATATCGGCAATTTAAAGGCACAGAAGCCTGGAAAATAACGACAAATGCTCTTTCCGAATGTATTTCAGCCGCAGTAACATTTCCACCGTGAGAGATTCTTAAATTTGCCGTGATGTTTCATTTTAAATTTGCTGTGATGTTTCATTTTATATTTGCCGTGATGCATCATTTAAAATTTGCCGTGATGTTTCTAAATTTTTGCCGTGATGTTTCACTTATAATATGCCGTGACACGTATGGGCCAGCTTAAGATTCGAGATTTATAAGTGAATTTTATGTCTAACCACAATATTTGAACATTAAGCCATTGAAATAAAGGTCTAATAGATCATGTAGTTTGTGTTGACGGTAAAAAGACAAAACTCGTATTCTTTTGGAGTGCAATTATAGGCCTGCCGAAACTGTCTAAAAGCGATCAAGGTGTGGACTCTTTAGCTCGTACAGTAACTTGCTTCGCCCTAAGGGTCCCTTTGTCTCTGAGTTACCCGGTAAACCAGTACCATTGAGTTCTTTAAAGTGCACATGAGCCAAATTGTGTACACTGGGCCGACGGTTTATGGTTCTTTCGAGAAGACTTGTTCTATCACCAGAATCAACGTTCTGGCACACTGCCTTAACCGGTGGGCCATCAAACTCGCCATTGATGATTTATTCTATCATATTTCCATATTTTTTTTTAAACTCGTGACAAATATAATAACTTATGCACTAAAATTATTATTGTTAGAATTTTAAAAAAAGTTTGTGTTTATCGTTATCATGCATATAAAGAAGTACAAGCAGTTTCACTATAGAGCGAATGAGATGCTTTACGGCAACACTTTACAAACCACTGCTTGTCAAAATAATGTCGGTAGTTGCTAAATACAACGGGTTTAGCCGAGGGGCGTGGCTTGTATGGTGACGTCTACCTAAAAACATCACACATACACCGTGTGACCAATGTGACGTTAGCGAGCAGGCAGAGGTTTAGTTTTGTGGTGCTGTTACGGCCGAGAAAGGCGCAATATTGGTCATTTTGGGGTTTGTCACTGATGTTTGTTGAGTTAAGACATAGCCATTTTTTTGATATTTGTACAATAAACCAAGCTATGTTTATGCTATTGATGCTATATTTAATAGTTGCTACTTTTTATATTTTTTTCTATGTACTGTATAGTACTCCATGCTTTATAGATGTATAGAAATATGCAAGTTAGTCTGTGGCTACACTGATATAGCAGCTATTTGTTAGTTGATATTCGTGTATTATGAAGATGGTGCTGATATAGCAACTATATTCGATAGTTGATATTTGGGTGTGATGAAGATGCTTTATATCTGCTATATGTCAGCTGTATTAAAATATACAAATTACTTCAGCTACAGATATATGGCAGCTATATTCGATAGTTGATATTTGGGTATGATGAAGATGCTTTATATCAGCTGTATTAAAATATACAAATTACTTCAGCTACAGATATATGGCAGCTCTATTTGATAGTTGATATTTGGGTATTATGAAGATGCTTTATATCTGCTATATACCAAATGTATGTATATGATGATGATGATGATGATGATGATGATAACGACGACGCTTACGCTAATAAATAACGACAATGCTTACAAACCTAATGAAATTAGTCGAAGACAGTGATAACGATAGTGGTATATGACAATGATAACATTAACTGCAAATGGATACAAACCTTATTTTTGAAAATTAATTATCATTATTATTATCGTCGCCGTCGTTGTATTTATTATTTATTTCTTTTTTATTCTTATATCTTCCTTCTGGGTTCACAATATTTGTCATATTTAGCTATAGATAATTTAGGCCTACGTCATTCTGCCAAAAAAAAATTATAGACTTTGTCATAATCTTGAACTCATTAGACAATTTAATTAGACATTAACATCACCATTGTCATTTTCATGATTATTATTATTGTTATCATTATCATTATCATTAGACCTAGAGGCATTATAACCATAGGCGTCCCATCTATTCTAACTTCTGTTTGCTGACAAGTGCCATACGTCTATACCACATTATTCAATTATAAGTCACTATAACCAGATACAACAATTAGCTAATGATGGTCCGACAATTGAGGACTCACACAATTCGGCTAGTTAGAGAACAGATTATCTGCAACAGCTTCCCTACTACGGCGAAATATAGAAAATGATCTATCGGTGTTACAATTACAAAATAAAGTATACTTACTGTTGAGAAAGGGTAGGAGCAAGGGAACATGTATTTTTGGAGTGTCTGCGCCCGCCGCCAAAACTCCGATTTTGGAGGTTTTGAGTACTATACGCGAAAACTCCTAAATCTTTCGGAGTTTTTGCGTATAGTACGCGAAAACTCCAAATATGGAGGTTTGGATTGAAAGTTTAAAAACTCCGATTTTGGAGTTTGTAGGATTTTGGAGATTTTAGGTTTGATTGAAAGTTTTAAAACTCCAATTGGAGTTTTCGCGTATAGTACGCAGAAATTCCGAAATCGGAGGTTTGAATAAAAGTTTGAAAACTCCGATTTTTTAGTTTTCGCGTAGGCCTATAGTACAAGGGGACATTAAATATGGTATGCTTAGCATAGTCTTAGATGATTGTAAAGAAAAATAGAGCAATAAATATTTGTCATATTGTAGACGGGCTGAAATGAGTTTTTCACAACAGTAAATTGTGTCCCTTACCAAATTAATTTTATTTTGATTCCCGTATACAGAAACTTTAATAAAAAAAAAAAGGCGTTGTGTATGATCGACCACCATTTTCAAGTATACTATAGGAGAAACAGTAAAGAAAGTAACATCCGAGAGGACATGTTATGCATTTTTGAATTATGTCTCAAAAGGGATGTTGCGCAATTGAATTTCTTTATAAAGTCGCTTTGTTGCATCTCTATTCACTACCGGTAGTCTTTGATTTGTTGGTTACTGGTGAGACCTCATTGCACATCAAGCTCTGTTGTTCCTGTCGTGTGATTGATATTGCTGTGGAATTGCCATCGGTTGCCTCGTCACAGTTCCGTCCAATATTTGTGTTTGTAAGGGTGCTCTCCTTGCGCGAAAAACTTCTCCGTGATGTATAAACTCGTCGATCCGACGAAATGTTTGACATGGCTGAGGATTTTCGTCGCAGGTTGAAATCTTGTTCGGAACGGCTGCTGTCGCTTAAGCTGATCCGCCGTGTAGGCTCAATATTTCTGACATATCGTCTACCACCACAAGGATAAATGAATAAAGCCATTACGTTGCACATTCCATAACGGAAACGACCGCTCATACACACATATATGAAGGGGTTAATCATACTGTTTATAAATCCGCAAGTGTGGATGAGGCATAACACAAACATAAAGTTTCCGGTCTCTAGTATTCCAGTTAGTGTGTTAATCATACTGGCCATAAAAAATGGAGTCCATGAAACAACGAATGCTGCAACAACAACCAGGACCATCTTGGCAACCTTAAAAATATCAAAAAGTCCTATAGTGTTATATGTATGATCCATAATATTATTCATATTTTTGCTACCAATATACATATTGAAAGACCCTAATATAGTATTAAGTTAAAGTATTAAATATATTAATAGAAAATGCTAAAAAGTAGGCCTATTGGTGTCGCAGAAGCCTGTTTTTTGCCACGTGGTTTTGACCGCCTTCTGTACGATATTAAATTCTGCGGTTTAAAGCCAAATTCAATGTTAGATATTATATGCAGGTGTGAGACTTGAAAACCACGTTGAATTGGTTTTAGTATGATTTGTTACTTGTCGGAGATTTTGGCCCGAAGTGAGTGTGGTATTCACAAAACCAATCATCCTATTTTAAGTAGTAGATGAAGAATGTTTAATAAGAGAGCTACAAAATTCTCAAATATTGTTTTTTTTTTTTATATAAGCAAATACATGTATGCGTGATATTTTGGTCATTAGCGTAAGACCGTGAGACAGATATCGAATGCGTGCGGCGAATGCATGAGACTGAGTAGACCTCTGCTTTAAGTAGGCCTAATTTGTTCCCATAATTAACTTCCTGTTAGAGGTTAACCTTTTCTCAGATTCAGATTCAGATATTCTGTATTCATCGTCACATACATACATATATACATGATATTCTTTTTCCAGGTGATACATCGAGTTAAAAACAATTCACTGCACAACAAAACAATAACAATAATAATAATAATAATAATAATAATAATAATAATAATAATAATAATAATAATAATAATAATAATAATAACAATAATAATAATAATAATTTAAAAAAAACCCAAACATTCTACTAAAGTCAATTTCATTATAACCGTTAATTTAAAAATTTTAAAAGGTGAAAATTACAACGAAGTAAAAATTAGAATAAAAGAATATAAACATTAAGTATGAAATTTATTTACAAGTTCATAATTTTAGTAATTAAAAAATGAAGTATGAAAATAAGTTGTCTATGAAAATGTAGCCAATGGAAGTTAGGAAGGAAGTTATATTGCACTAGTTAGTAATGAATTTAAATGAGTTATCTATAAAAATTTATATTAAAAAGTCTATTAATTGCACTCGGTAAGAATGAGTTCTTGTGGCGGGTTGTTCGTGTTAGTTTTTCGTCCTGATCTGCTGAATGTTATATATTTAAAGGATGTGTTACGTCCTCTAAAACTGCTTTAGTTTATTCTTTACGACTGTTTAGTCTTGTTCATCCTTAACTGAAATACTTATATCAGTTCTTTGATTTTTGGCTACAAAATACCCATTGTCAATCAACTCCCTCCCTATTTCTCTGTATATATATAAGTAGTGAAAAAATTTGTTCTTAGGGGCGTCAAAAACTTTCTGAAATTGGTGGTGGGTGGGGGAGGGGGTGCGGTGTATCATAACAAAATTGGTTGGCAACCAGCAGAGCCGCTACTCCTATGCCTCTCTAGGGGCAGACGCATGATTTAAAGATAGTGGGGGTTCACCTCAGCTCCAACGTGGTTGAGGCTGAGATAAGTAAATTCTGAAATAATTGCACCTCTAGAAGATATGCCCGGAAGTATGGCAATCTGCAAATCCACTAGCGAGCCGCTACCCCAGGAGCAGATATCATTAATTTTATAAATAAGTTAGTCGATATAGACAGTAAATTCAGTCAAAACATTTATAAGATTGAAAACTATTTATATAATGTTACTACATACCGGGCTAACATACTTCAATAGGCTAATTGGCTTTCTACTTAATCATGCATCTGTCAATACAAGCCTCAGTAGCGTAAATATTTTTCAAGTGGCATACACAACTTGATGGATTCAACGAGTTAGATCAAAATATTCATCAGTTCTAGAATTTCTAAGCCCGTCTGTGTGCAGATTTTCATAATTGAAGGAACAACATCTTGATTAAAATGAGAAATCGTAGTTCATTTTTTGGGAAAAAAAAGCCTTGAAGTATTCTCGTTTTCGAGCTGACGTCGGTGACGGGAGGTCTTTGTGAATATATGGCTTTAAAAAAAAAATTCTTTAGGCACACACATGTGGCGAGGGGAATGGTATTACTATTCTATTTGTAGGTGACAATCCATTTCACAAGACAAACATAATATACACACGATTTTTTGCATACACTAAGTCTCAGAGGGGATGGATTTAATTTGGTCGTGAGAAAATATCCTGCAACACTGACAGGAATTGAACCCAGTGCCTTCAGATTGAAAGGCGAACATCTTAACCACCAAGCTGTTTATCTCTGCACTCCACATTATGAAAGCCTTGGCGGTTTGAATAATATTCATAGAAAGACAATAATCTAATATGTCACTCACGCTACTTTGGTCAAGTAATTTTCTTGGATCGAATGTTGTTTTGCTGTAAATGGTAATTACAAGAAGGAAAATTAAATTGGTTCATGAATAGTTACTTTCATTATATGAACCGATGCTAGGTCTATCAATAGCTGTAATTACAATAGTGAACCTGCTTGGGTAACTCAATACTAATACAAATCGCAACTGGCTGTTAAATAATTAAATGTAAGTATACGTTATTAACGTGTGTTGCCTTATTTGGATATATTCGATCCAAACTACTTCAATATCAGATTTAATTTCAGAAACCAAGTATATAAAATATCGTAATCATTGTTACTTTTTGGAACTATAGCATCGCTAGAAGGTTTGTAATAACTTGGATTACAATATAGAATAGCAAATCGACTGGCAAGTCATTAATTTGAATTGGTATCAAATGTTCTGTTATATGATTGTCCGACGCACGACTAGGTCGTCGGATCAAAAATGGGGGGGGGGAATAATAATAATTTGCCTATCTAAATAGCATTATTTTGGCACTACCAATCCCTAATATTGTGATCTGAACACACAGTTTGGACCACATTCGTTGAGAGCTGTGCTACACGATGTATTATTATTCTCTTATACACATCTAGATGTGTATAAGAGACAGTTGTCAATCAACTCCCTCCCTATTTCTCTGTATATATATAAGTAGTGAAAAAATTTGTTCTTAGGGGCGTCAAAAACTTTCTGAAATTGGTGGTGGGTGGGGAAGGGGGGTGCGGTGTATCATAACAAAATTGGTTGGCAACCAGCAGAGCCGCTACTCCTATGCCTCTCTAGGGGCAGACGCATGATTTAAAGATAGTGGGGGTTCACCTCAGCTCCAACGTGGTTGAGGCTGAGATAAGTAAATTCTGAAATAATTGCACCTCTAGAAGATATGCCCGGAAGTATGGCAATCTGCAAATCCACTAGCGAGCCGCTACCCCAGGAGCAGATATCATTAATTTTATAAATAAGTTAGTCGATATAGACAGTAAATTCAGTCAAAACATTTATAAGATTGAAAACTATTTATATAATGTTACTACATACCGGGCTAACATACTTCAATAGGCTAATTGGCTTTCTACTTAATCATGCATCTGTCAATACAAGCCTCAGTAGCGTAAATATTTTTCAAGTGGCATACACCTGTCTCTTATACACATCTAGATGTGAGAATAGACGCCTGTCTCTTATACACATCTAGATGTGTATAAGAGACAGTATATATATATAATAAATTTGGGGAAAACGCCGAAAATTCAACAATTGAGAAAATTTATGTCTGCGTATGCTTTTTCAACTTCTTGCTTAGTTTCTCAAACAGTCTTAGGTCTTGCTTTGTGACCGTACTAGTCTGTGTAAACTCATGTACAATACAGCCAAACTTCCGAACAGAATGTAGTATAAAGACGAATTTAAGAGGAACAAAAATACATTTAATAGAACCCGACATGTTTCTTCGTATTCAATACATCTTCTGCCTGAGGCTTATATACCTTTGCCTATAACTTATGCACATTAGAGTTAATTCATTCTAAATATAAATTGAATACATAGTAGTGTCGTAACTCGTTGGCACATTAAAGTTACGTAATTCCAATTCTAGTTTCTCAAACAGTCTAAGGTCAAATGCTTAGTTAATATCGTAGCTCTAATTTATTTTAAAATAGGTATTTGAATACATAGTAGTGTCGTTACTTGCACATTAGAGTTACGTAATTATAATTCCAGTTCAAATGCTTAGTGGAATCTCGTAACTTTGAACTTGTCTTTTAAGTTCAGGATTCTTCCATTTAATATGGAGGGATTCTTTAATTTTTAATTGATACTGTGTATTTGCTTTATCTATTATTTCAAAGCACTTTTTGTTACTCTGTGTTTTGCAATTACTGTATTTTTTGATGTGTATGTATATATGTGAATTGTTATCCCTGTGTAAATGCTCCTCTATCCTTGTTGCAAAATGGCGGGAAGTCTCCCCAATGTATGAGGCCTTACAGCCTCCACATATGAACTGATATACAACGTTGTGAGACCTTACAGCCTCACATGTGAACTGATATACAACGTTGGACTTAAGGTCATTACCAATAGGGTCTTTAATATTTAAAAAAAACTACTTATTTTCGTTGTGCTGAATACCATGTTGATGGTTAAATTGCTACAATATTTTTTGCATAGTGTATTTATCTTTTCATTAGTCTGTTTAGACATTTTCCCAATAAATGGTAACTTGAAATAACATTTTTAATCGCTATTAGTTTTGGTTTGAACGTTATTGTATTTTTTTTATTCTTGGTTATTGTGAACTTTGACACAAACTACCACTTGCTCGATTGGTTGCCGAATTAGTATGTTTTACCCACCGATTTCTCGATTTTCCAAGTTTCAACTATCAGGTTTTTAAATAACTTAGAAGGTAAAGGAGGGCAAGCACAAGCTTTAACCCTAGCAAATGCGCGCAAAACGCGCGAAAATTTTTTGTGTTTTTAATTCTAATTTCGTCGGAATTGATCAAAACTCCCTAAAATGTGCAATTTTTAGAGGAAATTGGCCTACCTCAACAAGAAATGCCGTTATGTTATATATGGCCACATTCGTTTTTTAAAACTAAATATAAGCATTTTCCTTA